CCCCAAAACCCCAAAACCCCAAAACCCCAAAACCCCAAAACCCCAAAACCCCATCAAATCTTAAGAATATTGAAGATTTTTATCAGCCATTAATATGCTGAGGTATTTAGAGAAAGGCCTTTATGTCATAGGCACCCCTGCGCTACTGATCGGGTGTACCTACTGGGTCTACAAGCGCCAGAAAGAAATCGCAGAAGGTATCGTATGCTCTAGTGATCTGTATAGACCCTTTTGAGCACTTAGAAGATGTTGATAGCAAGTATCTGAGCTCCACTGAGATTAAGAAGCTTGAAAATGACACCCAGAAGGTCTATATCCTTGGCATAGATGAGAAAGAATCTATAGGTATCCATACATATTTCCTTCCTGACTTTATATAGAGAACATCAGACTTGTTAACAACTTTATTCGAGACCTAAGCCCAAGGAATGTGGTCGTAGAACTCTGTGATGAGCGGTTTAATGAGCGTTATAATGATATCATGAAGCATCCCAAATTCGAAGCAATCATGCAGAAGTTCTATAATGTCCTTAATAACGATGAGAAAGTCAAGAAGCTTGGGGAGAAATCCGATATGATAGAACTACAGGAAATGGAATATTTAGTAGCAATAGACCTCTGTAGTTACCATGTCCCTCAGTGCAGAAGTCTGCTTGGAGACCGTAATAGGAGTATTACAGAGAAAAGAATCAGAGCCAAGCTCAGACTTAGTGATATCCTCACTCAAGAAGAGGGAATCGGAGCTTTACATGTACTCAGCCCTTCAAACGAGAAGGATTCTGCTGAAGAAGTTGACGATATTAAGAAAGCACTAGCCCAGACGGAGGAAGACGAGGAAGAGTTTGATTTTGATGCCGCCAAAGAGGAGGATATTAAGAATGACTTCAAAACTGATGAGCAGATTTACCAAGAAGTTATCATTGATGAAATCAACCAAGTCATGCTCAAGAACATCGCAAAAGCAGACGGAAACATCATCGCTGTAATTATGAAAAATGAGAGGATTCCCTCATTCATGAAGCTCTGGAAAGGAGCCTATGATGAGTTCTATCAAGATGTTGATAGGAAGAAGAAGTTAGAGGAGATTAAAGAGAAAAGACTGAAGAAGAAGCAAAAACAGGAGAAATCTACTTAATTTTTATCGTTTAATTTACATATAACCATGCTCAAGGCTTCTTTTTGCTTTCTGTAGTTCATCTGTTTGAGTTGTTCCCTCTTCTTTAAGCTCCATCTCAAAGACAGGTTTGTGCTTGTTTTCCTTCTTGTCCTTCTCATACCTCATTTGGATGTAGTCGTACATGGACATATCAGGCTTATTTCCAAGCCAGGTTCTTCTTTCTCTGGCGATTCATGACTGGAACTCTTTATACTCATGGGAGCAGTCGGAGCTACCTCTCCAGTCACTTGGGATAGACTTTTTGATAAGTCCTCAGTAGTTCAGGTCACAGCCTTGGTTCTTGCAGAGGGCCATGGCAAGGTCATCAACAGTGAGGTTATTTCCACTTGTATAAAACCTCCAATACGCGTTGTTGCTGATACACTCTGTGTATAGTTCCTTAGGGTGCTTATCAGACTTGATGGAGTTCATGTCCTCCCAGGTCTGCTTCCATAACTTGTTGGAGACATAGGGGTTGTCTTCCCTCCTCCTTTGCTCTTGCTTCCAGAACCTGACTGGGTCGTTATCTCCGTCTGACATTTGTAAATATTCTATTATTGAATTGTTCAATTACATACTTTTATTCCGGGGTTTTGGGGTTTTGGGGTTTTGGGGTTTTGGGG